AATCTTTGAGTGCTGAAAACTCGTGATCAGCTTTCTGTGAACGTTCTCCAAGTAGTTAGTGGCATCATGCTCGCTATTCTATCAAAAATATGGAGAATCCAGAGTAGAAGAAAAAGCAGTGGTTGAAAATTCTAATTTTTATGCGTTTTTGCACTTTTGCAGTGAAAAACGCATTTTTTGGATGGCTCCTGTCATCTTGTTTCAGGTTTCCAAATCACATGATGGCTGTTGCACGGCATGTTATGGTGAATTTTGAGCAACGATATGGTCCACCTTGGCTGTGTATTGTTGGCAACGGTAAACTTGGATTCTACATGCGCTACGATCCTCAGAATCACATATATTACGTCGTATCTGGTCACAGTATTTTCCTTTACAAAAACCCTACAGCATAAGTGTATCCTCATGCATTGCTCACATTTATGTGAAGTGTATAAAATTGATATCGTTCTGGAGGTATCCATTTTTTCTTGAATTTTTAAACAAACATATGTTTGCTGAAGACACTGAAATTGTGTTTAAAAAATTTCAAATCGAGGAACTGATAAATCTTTTGCCTCTCTTTTTTTGCTCACTTTTCTCATGTGAATGTAAATCTTCGATTAATTGCATTCATTTATAAGAGCAAATGTAGCTCCCTGTGAGACGAAAAGCAACCAGTAAGCTTACTTTGAAGTGGCCGCAGCCAAATTTTATTCCTAAACAATCTTTGAAAGAGGAAATCATTCAAAATTTTGTCAGCCGTTGGTTGTTGTTAGCATGTTCTGCCACTCAAACTATTTCCGAGCGTGTCGCCTCTCATACAGAACGTTCACTAATGAGGCAAGGTCTTGGCTCCTTTTTTTCCAAGTGACGTCAATACATACGCAAGATATATGCATGCATATAATTTTTTTTTGTAATTGGATTTTGTCGTGCTGATGAAATGCCTTGTTGGAATGGTATCAAAATTTGTTGCATTTTATATAAGCAGCTCACTGAGTGACGCAAAAGCATCGTTAAAATAACGCAGGATAGGTCACCAGTGCGGTAAAAAGATTCTCTGCATGGATGTGAGAGTCACAAATTAAGAAGAATTGGGAAGTTGCCAGACGCACCAGCGATGGGAAGTAGCGCAACTGTGAAATAATAACTGGTCGTGGTATCAGAGTATTACATACAAATGCAAACGACTGATTGCCTCAAACAAAAAGTACTATCACTCCAAATGCATGATGAATTCCAAAAATTCTAACCTCCATAGATCATTCCTAAAAGCAAGTGACAGTCCTAAAAGCAAGTGACAGTAGAAGCTTCCTTGTAGCGTTGGGGCAGAAAGGGCTGTGAGTCGAGTTTTTTTTTTTTGCTTTTTTTAGTTTTATACAAATCGATGACAAGCCATATACTGCTGAAATAAACTTTTCTGTACTAATTGTGTTTCTGATCGACTGCAGTTAAGTGGGCAATCAAGTAATTTTGTACGTTAACAACAGTTCGATGCCACTGCAGTATTAAATGTGGATGAGCAGGGTATACGGTAAGGCCAGAGAATGTACACAAAGGCGACATGATGCCAGAATGTAAAAAAAAATTTTTTTTTCGATTTCCAGGAGAAAGATGGTAAGAAAAGGCAAGATGAAAAGGAAAAAAAGTGCCT